TGACCCTTGTAGATTCCCATTCCAGCGCAGGGCTTAGTGAGGCTCCCAGAATGCCAGCCTGGCAGAAATACATGAATGATGTCTAAAGTATACATTTGGCTCTACCAAGAAAAGAAGTGCACAGGGAAAAGGAGTGAAATCTTGACTTCTGAGCTTGTAAGGATCCTGGTCCTGCCAATCAGAGGGCAGTTTCAGGAAATTTCAAAGATAATTGGGACTGCGTTCACGCATTTGGTCTTACAAGAAAGGGAAGCCTGTGTCTGTCACAGCATTTGTGTTCGGCCCCTTGGAAATCCTGTGGGCAGTGTCTGAGGTCCTGATATTTCCCAGGTTTGCCAAGCCTCGGGGAGGAGTTTGTAGCCTTTATCTGACCACCCACCCCATTGGCCAGTGGCCATTTTCATCCCTTGCTGTGAAGATGCCCTGTGCCTGACTGGAGCAGGCATCTTGTTGTTGTTGTTTTTTAATTTATTATAATTACTATTATTTTGTTGGCACTGGAGTTTGAACTCAGGGTCTTGCACTTGCTAGGTAGGTGCTCTACCACTGGCACCAGGCATCTAGTTAGTGTATCTAAAGGCTCACTCTCCTATCAGAAAGTTCTGTCGATCAACATCCACGCTTTTGGTACAGCTCGGACTTTTGTTTGTTTGAACTCAGGGCTTCACGCTTTCAAAGCAGGAGCTCTACCACTTGAGCCACACCTCCAGTCCATTTTGCTCTGGTTACTTTGGAGGTGGGGATCTCACAAACTATTTCCCCGGGCTGGCCTCAAACCTCAACCCTCCAGCTCTCAGCCTCCCAAGTAGCTAGGATTAAGGTATGAGCTTCCAACGGCTGGCTGGGGCTTGAACTTGGTGGAAACCTGATTGTATTTCACCAGGCTTTCCTTGAGTCCAGGTGGGTAGTTTTCTACATACTTCATTATCTTTGCATACACTATTTCTGTCTGGCTCTCAGTTCACTTTCAGGTGGAAGAAAGAGGTTTCAAGACAGAAATCTCAAAATAGCTAACATCCCTGTATTTCTGTGGTTCTCACGAGCAGGTTTTGGAGACAAGGTCATTTTCTTCTGCTCTTCATTCCTGTTACTGAATGTCAAGAAATTCCCAGACTGGTGGCCTGGTGCTGAGTTTGGGTGCAGCTTTGAGAGAAGAAGATGGGGATCCCTAAGAGAGGTCCTCTTGCAAAGAACTGTGGGTGTACTTGGCAGTGTTTTTACCCTGGTTAGGAAGTGAGGAAGAGGCATCTGGTGCTCCCTGGGTGATGCGTTTTGTCTGTCCGGGCAGCTCAGCAAGGTTGTCACCAGAGATGTCTGAGAGAGGAAAGATCAAACCCACACCTGCAGCAGCCACACTCCACCAAATACACTCTCCACTAAGGCCTCCCTCACAGAATGGGCTCTAGATACCAGGACAGGTGCACAGAAGCATTTTCAAACTGTATCCGTAGTCCCTCCTCCCTGTAGTACGTACACTCACTCAAATATATACACCACTCTCCTACCCTCACCGAGACACAGCGACTAACAGAGTCAACATGGCTCCATGTAGGAGGGAGCAGATGTCACCCTCCCAGAATATATCTTCCCAGCCTCTGCCTGCAGATCTGCCTCCTCCACCTCAGGTTTCCACTCGTGGTCAGAAAGGCTGAGGGGAGAAAGGAGACAGAAGGTAACCTTGGCAACCAAGCCAAGTCTCCACAGGTCCACAGAAGTCACATACAATGGTCTGATTGCTCTTGACTGGGGAGCGAGTGTCCCTGACTACTCCCATGGCAGGGGCAGAGCTTCAGGTGGGAATTTGACCTGAGGTGAATGGTCACTCTTCAGCAAGTGGGTGAGAAGGGGACTAGGACCAGAGGAGACAGTGAATCGGAGGTCACATTGTACTGAAGTTTCTGGCAGAGACTAAACACTTACCCCCACCCCTCCCACCACCCAGGCTACTCTTCAGTGGGTGGGGGCCACAGGTCAGCACAGCATGTCAGCATTTAAAGTTTAAAATTCAACTCAGGGGGGCCCTGGGGGTGGGGGTGGAGGCAGAAAGAGAAGAAAAAGGAGGGACAGGAAGGGCAGGCAGAAGAGAAGGGAGGGAGAGAGGGACCATTGATCTTGCCCTGATGTCTAAAATTGTCTTGACTCTACCAAGGAGAGAGAGGCTCTGGGTGACAGTCTGAAGGAAAAGGAGGTTAATTTAATCTTGACTTCTGAGCTTCTAAGGGTCCTGTTCCTATCAATTTTAGAAGAACTGTTAGGAAGTTTTGGGACTACTATAATGTATGTGGTCTTACAAGAAATTGATTTGGGAACCTAAATCCCAAATTGGGCACAATGATAAGCATAGTGTCTTGAGCACTTTGAGCATGAGATAATTAAACTTCCCCTTCCTAGGTGTGGGGACAGAAAGAAAGGAGGATGAGAAAGTAGGGGATTGCCTGGTGGCTCTTATGGCTTAAAGTTCAGACACTCAGGTGAGGAGGCTGAGACACACACCTGGGTGAAGGAGAAAACAGAGGTTGTGGCCTCCCTGCTCCTGTCACCACATTTGGTCCCTCCATTTGCTGCATCATCATGAGGAGTGACAGCTCCCAGGACCCATGTGGGACCTGGGTTATGACAGTGGCCATAGTCTAGAAGCTCTGGGGCCTGATGACAGGAGGGTCATAAATCAGCAAAGATTGTCCAGTCCTGGCTCTACTGAGAACTCACTGTGTGACATGGTGAGTGATGCAGAAATTTACGTAAGGACAGCAGTTCTATTTCCTTGGGCAGAAAAACAGGTGACGGTTGGTCAAAAAACTTTTTTTTTTTTAATCAATTCTAGTTGTAGGAGGTCAGGGCCAGAACACCAGACCCCCGTCAAAGACAACACAAAGAAAGATGTTAAGTGTGTTCAGATCTGGGCTCTGAACAGCCCTAAGTGGCTGTCTATACTTTGACCTATTTCTCTGATTTCCTTGGTGGTTGACCTTGGTCAGTTCTGGTCTTGCTGACATGTGGTCTCTTTGGTTTGATGCATCTCTAGACTATATTTTCCCCATGGTCATCCCTATTTCTTGTAATTTTTTCCTCCTCAATGAGGAGAGGGGATGGTGACAAAGCCAGCTAAGGCATGTGTTGAACACCAGATCACAAGAATTCAGGGCACTTTGATTAGTTGTATGAAGCAATAGAGAAGAATATCTGAAATCTGAATTGCCCTGAAAATGTAGAACATATGAGCATAGTAATCTGTTTCTGAGTAACTTGCAAACTGTCATTGGGACAGAATGTCGGCCTCTAAGAAGGTCATAATGATACCATGTTATAGGTTCTAAGTGCCCAGTGGACGGCATGGCTGGCATAAATTTGGGAGAATGGTTAGTATAGGTTTTTAAGGTGGAAGGCCAAGCTGCAGCCGTGTCTTCAAGAATGTGCAGGGTTAAGATTGCTGGGAAGGTGGCAGTGACATATCTGTATGAGCCATGGTGCATACATGTTCAGGTGTGTATGGAATGGAGACCATTAAAAAAGGGCTAAATTATGAAAGGTCTTCATTATTGGGCAAAGGAGTGCAGATTTAATCTAGTAGACACAGAGGGGAGGGGTTGTCTCAGTGGATATAATACTCTCTGAATGGTGGGGAGAGTGGCTTAGGGATAGGACTGGACAGAGTCCCCAGCAATCATCTAGGTATGAAGATGTGACTGCTTTGAAGACTGGATCTGAGGAGCAAGGTACCAGGGAGCCTCTGGATGAAGTGATTGGGAAAATGATATAGAAATGAAGATCAGGAAAGGGGACCATTTTTCCTTAGCTGGGCTTTCATGGGGAGGGATAGAGCATGGGGAAGGAGGATGGAAGGAAGGACAGGAAGGACTGTGCACATGTGAAAGTCTACAATAGAAAAATAAGCATCAAAAGGGACTGTTTGAACAGGATCCTTCTGAGGAAAGTGGAGAGAAAAGGGAAGGGGAAAGACTTGTGTGGGAAGCAGGATGGGATGGATCCAGGGGTGGCCCAGCAGGGAATGGGGTGGCGAAGACTGGGGCACTGGGTCAGGGAGAAGGACCAGGGATTGCTTCCAGAAGTGACCAGAGGAACTCAGAGGTCAAGGAAAATAGGAATTCATTGAACGAACACGAACCAAGCCATGTGCTAGGCTCTGGGGTGTGGGTTAGAAGTTGGCTCCATGCAGCAGGCATCTACGGAGTGCTGGGAGGGTGCCAGGCCCTGAGTGTAGGACAGGAGGCCTGAGGCTGGATCCTTTCCCCTGGTCATGTTTACAAACGCTTTGGTCCACAGGAGGAAGGAAGAGAAATCAGGGAAAGGGAGGGGGAGTGGATGGAAAACTTTGTATAGTTCAAAGCTTGCTACTTACTAAACTTTTTTTTTTTTTTTTTTTTTTTGCCATTTAAAGGAAAGTGAGGACTGGAAAAATAACCCGAGGGGACAGATAAATCTTGCAACACTCCTTTCTCCTCAAAGCACCGACTAGAGTTGGATGTTTTTAAGCAATTGCTGAAGAGGAAACAGCAGAACTTGTGAAGGAGGTGAGGTTATTATTTATGGAAGTAAATATAATACAGTCCCTATTGCCCAACCACCAAAAGGAGCCGCTTGGAAGAGGGAGCATCATCAGCGAAGGCTTCCTGGAGAAGGTGGCAGTCACCCCAGCCTTGGATGGGAGGAGAGGCGAGGTCCGGGCATGCCCAGAGTGGAGCGCTCCGCGCGCGCTCTTTCGCTCAGCCAGGCGAATCGCTTTCCCCGCCAGCCTCCCTTGACTCCCGAGCCCAGCGCGGGTTCCCAGCACTGACGTCAGCAGGCGATGACCTCAGCGCCCGGGAGGCGGGGGAGGTAAGGAGGGCCAAGGCGGGGGAGGAGCGGGCGCGCGGGGCGGGGAGGCTGCGGGCCCCGCCCTCATCCGCTGATCTCAGCCAATGGGCGCCGCCACTGGCTCCCCCGCCCCCGTCGAACAGTATGAAAGGGGCTGCCGGGGGGAAAGTCCGGGCAGAACTCGAGCTGCAGCTGGACGACTGGAGTCTTGCTAATAGCCGCGTCTCACGGGAGAGCGCTCCCTGCTCCCGAAGCCGCACACAACATGAGCCACGGGAAAAGAACCGACATGCTCCCGGAGATCGCTGCCGCCGTGGGCTTCCTCTCTAGCCTTCTGCGAACCCGGGGTTGCGTGAGCGAGCAGAGACTTAAGGTGTTCAGCGGGGCGCTCCAGGAGGCGCTAACAGGTGAGCACAGCCGAGGTCCCGGCGCGGTCCCCTCATGGTCTGGGGCGTCTTTCCTCCTCCTTCTAGGGCAGGATCCCCCATGCGAACAGCTCCGAGACTCATTTGCCCTCCTCCTATCCCCCACGCCAGCCCACGATCTCTTGTTCCCTGGGCCAGATCTCCCCTCTCCTGTTCTGTGCTCGGGTTTCCGTCCCTGCTGGTTCGATGGAGCGCCCCGCTGCACTCTCCTGGAGGCGCAAACTCTTGTCCTTGAGTGCCTCGGCTTATACTCCAGAAAAGGGCTACTTGGGGTCTTGAGTGCCGACTCATCTCCTTTACTGGACCCAGGAGACAAAGCCTGGCAGACCGAGGAGGGGTCCTTATGCGCCTTGGAGCCTCCACAACAACTTGGAGTCCCAGGCTTGGTTCTCGCGGCGGTGCAGGCCGGCGGCTGTGCCTGGCCAGCGTGCCGTTGCTCACTCTGTCGAAGTTGGACCCTGGGCTTCTTTTGTATTTATTCTCTTTGGTTCCTCTTAGCCATCTGCCACCTATTGTGGTACGGAAGAGAGCCCTTGTCGCTAGTGACCGTGCTGGGGGCCTGCGTGTGGGGGAGGCGGAGCGTGAGACTCGGAGGCTGACCAGAGATAAGCAGCCAGCTTGCTGGAGTGAGACCTGTCTCCCAGCTGTTTCTAAGCTGGTTGACTGGCGGTTGACTAAGCTGGTTGAGATGGCAGCCAGCGATAGCCATCTCTGAACGTGCCCGCACAGATCGGCCTTCAGAGGAACAACAAACCCAGTTTTGTAGTCCCTTAGCCTTGCTAGGGACCTCTGACTCTTCTGAAGGAGTCAGGGGGCCACTGGGCACAGGGTGGGAGGCTCTGCGACCCGACAATGTTGGCAGCTTTCTGGCTTTGAAACCAGCTTCCAGGTCTCCAGAGGCCCTGCCTGGACATGCCAGCCCAACTCACACCCTTCCTTCTATAAGCTGGGAATGTGCCAAAAGCAATAGAGTTGAATACTGGAGACTCCCCCAGAGCTGTGCTACCATTTCCTATCTAACACACACACACACACACACACACACACACACACACACACACACACACACACATATGTCCTCTGCTTGTGGTTACATCCATAGTGGCTTTCTAACCAGGCATCTCCCCCTTGTCTTTTTTCCACAGAGCACTACAAACACCACTGGTTTCCTGAAAAGCCGTCCAAGGGCTCTGGCTACCGCTGTATCCGAATCAACCACAAGATGGACCCCATCATCAGCAAGGTGGCCAGCCAGATCGGACTCAGCCAGCCCCAGCTACACCAGCTGCTGCCTAGCGAGCTGACCCTGTGGGTGGACCCCTATGAAGTGTCCTACCGCATAGGGGAGGACGGCTCCATCTGTGTTCTGTACGAGGAGGCCCCCGTGGCCCCTTCCTACGGGCTCCTTACCTGCAAGAATCAGATGATGTTAGGCAGGAGAAGTCCCTCAAAAAACTACGTGATGGCAGTGTCCAGCTAGATCACTGCCACCCCCACCCTGGCACTCTACTGTACTCATGCTGCCGTGACAACAGGCCACCGCATACCTCAACCTGGGGAACTGTATTTTTAAATGAAGAGCTATTTATATATATATATATATATATATTATTTTTTTTTAAGAAAAGAGGAGAAAAAAAAAAACCAAAAGATTTTTTTAAACTAAAAAATCCTTCAAGGGAGCTGCTTGGAAGTGGCCTCCCCAGGTGCCTTTGGAGAGAACTGTTAAGTGCTTGAGTCTGTGAGCCAGTGTCTGCCTAGGGGAGTGGGTGGGGGTGAGGGGTCAGCCTAGCCTAGGTGAAGTGGGGAAAGCTTGGCTGGCACCCCAGGAGATTGTGAGAGGGAGTAAGCAAGATTAGCAACTGTGAATGAGAGGTGTCAGGATCTGCCCTGGATGTAGGGGAGAGAAAGAGAGGCGAGGTCACTCTCTCCCAGCCAGGACACCTGCTTGACGTGACTGGCTCCTCCCTTACTCTGGGGCATTCAAGCCTGGACTTGATTTAATGCTATATGGCCTGGACTTGATTTAATGCTATATGGCCTAATCTTTTTTATTTTTCTGATGAGCTCCTGGACTGAGTGAAAGGCCTCTCCTATTCCTTCTGATCTAAGCAGCTTTTTTTGAAATCATATCTTATTTCTAATTCTACCCTCAGGGGCCTGTAGAAGTTGCTTCCTAGCCAGGAATCTAAAGCTTTTGGGGGATGGGTTGGAGGTCTTTGGGGCTAGGTCAGAGGGGGAACTCTGTACAAAACCTTTGCTTTGCTATATGCTGCTTTGTGTGTATGTGTGGCAAGTAATTTGGGGGTGATTTGCAATGGAATTTTGGGACCCAAAGAGTATCCCCTGGGGTTGTTTTTTGGCCTAAAACCCTTCTTTTGGGAACCACATGAAAGTCCTGATGCTGCTACCATTATTCCTTTGAGAGGTGGCTCAAAAGCTATAGGGAACTCCAGGTTCTTTTACTGCCTTCTTTTCAAAAGCACAACACTCCTAGCCCTCCCCTGGCTTCTCCCCTTTGATTGGGTCAAGGAGCTACCTGTCTTCTAAGACAAGATTTCTCAATCACTGTGCAATATGTCCCCTGGGGTCCCAGAAGGCTCTGGAGGACTAGCTCCCAGGATTTCCTACTGCCCTAGTGGGTTTTGGGAACCATCTCCCTCATATCCTGGGGTTTCTGGCTGATTGGTCAGCCTTATGGGTCTTCCTGGGTTGCAGGGGAAGGTGCCTACCCCATGCTCTGCAGACTACTTGGTATTCTTGTAGGGCTAACACTAAGCCAAACCTTGGGCACTGTTTTTTTTTTTTTCTCCCTGGTGCTCAGAGCACCTGTGGGAGAGGTTGCTGTCTCTCTCAGTAAAATCCAAATTTGTCTATAGACTTGTGCAATATTTACTATTCTGGGTTAGAGAAAAATGCAAAAGAACACGGAGAAGTCCCTTTTCCTTCAGTTTCTCAGTGACACTGGTGAGAGTCTTCAGAAGGCCTAGAGTTCCCCGAACCGAATCACCTTAAAAAGGACAGAGCTAGAGCATCTGGTCACCTGGTTTCCCTCCTGCTGCTGCCCCTCAATGAGGACCCCCACCCCATTCCTCTACCCCATTCATGTTCCTCCCCCGTTGCCCCTTTCCTCACTTTCTTAACTACTCAGTTTTGTCTCAAAGGTGCTATTTACCAAACGCTCTCCCTACCCATTTCTGCTCTTCACTCTGGTTTCCTGCTGCCTTCCCAGACCCTGCTTGGTCTTTTATTGCTTTAAAGTTAACTCTGGGCCCACAGATCCAGCAGCTGTTTTCTGGCCTGTGGGTGGAAACAAAGCTGTGAATCAATGCAGATTGTGTTCTTGCATCATGTCTGCAAACAGGTCCCTGCCCTCCTAGAAGCAGCCTCCTGGTCTCACACTTAATCTGTCCTCTTCTCTTCTTGTTGATGTTCACTTTAAAAAACAAAACAAAACAAAAACTACAACAAAACCCCCAGAGCTGGACTGTTGAGCAGGACTGTCTCCTATTGCGTAAAAATAAATAATAGTAGTACGTTTGTAAGCTATTCTGACAGCAAAGACAAAGGTTACTAATTGTATAATAGTGTTTTTATATGGAAGAATGTACAGCTTTACGGACAAATGTACTTTTGTTACTTTAATAAAAATGTAGCAGATGAAGTCTTTTGGTGTAGGGAAGGTAAACTTCCATACTACTCATTTGCATTTTCCTTTCAGATACAGTCCTTTCTTTGCGTTTTGTACTATTTCTCTTGCACTCAGACAATCTGTAGCATGTAGATATCAAAGAAAACCTAGGTGAGCGGAGCCATTTGGAAGCTTCCCCTCTGGAAGTAGCTCTTTACTTCCCTCCTTTCATGCATATTGTAAGAGTTCCTTTAAAAAAAAAAAAAGTAGCTAGGTTTTTCTAGTCTGAACATTCCTTAGTACACTCACTCATTCACTCAACAGCTGCTACTGTTGGTCCTCTGAATGTGGGCGTTCCACATCATGGACTCAACCAGCCTAACCCTGGTTTGAGATTAGGAAGACAAAAGTAAAGCAGAACTTGGATTTGCACCTGCGGGGGTGCACTGAGTCCATGTGGAGTAGTGCTGTGCAGGCACACCTGTTGTTGCCTTGTGGCATTTCACAGGTCCTCAGTTTCCCTAGTGCTCGTTGTTTCAAACTTGAGCTTCACATACACTTCATGTCCCATGTAATCAGACCGCTGATGCATGCCTGTGTCCTGAACATGTAAGACTTTTCCGTGTCATTCCTAAATCATTCAGAATAGCATGGTTATGCTATATAGTATATATACTGTACTATGGAACATGCAAATAACTGTTTCCAAGGCATGCACATTGTCTTAGGTACTATAAGAAGTGAAGAGATTACTTACAGCATATGGGAGGGCATGCAGATAACACGTCATTTTACGTAAGGGACCTGAGCATCCAGGAGTTCTGGTACCTGCATGAGGTCCAGGGGCACAACCCCAGTAAGTGCTAGGCACTGTAAATATTAAAAGTGATAAATATAAATCCTGTCTTTCATAGGCCAGGGTGGTGAAAGGGGATAATGTACCCCTTCTCAGGTGGGGACAGGATTGTCTGCATTTCTTAGAAAAGTTATCATCTCTGCGTCTGCATTTGCTACCTGACATTCTTGCCTTCTTAGACAAGAGCAGGTGGGCCTCAGAATCTATGCACAGGAGCCAAATGTGTGACTGAATGCCAATACCACAAGTTAGCCAAAGATCTACTCTGACAGCACACACAGGTGTGAGAATGCAAGGCTGGCTATCACTTATAACTCCCTTTGGCCATATGACTAGAGTCTGTGGAAGGAAATGAACAGTCTATCATCCCTGCCTTTGGGATTCTTAAGGTTCTGATACCGACTGAGGTCATGGGCACATTTTTCAATCTGGGTTAGTTCTTGGTCAAAGCTGAGCTGTACTTTTAAATTTAAGCATTTGATTCGTGACCGGTGGCACCCCATGGTCATTTCATGCCTCATGACCTTCATAAGCAAACATGCGGTTTGCCCAGGTGTGCTGGGAGAGCAGGGGGCTGTGTGTATGTATTTGTATTGGGTGATGGGGATCGGGTGCAGGGCTAGGGGTGGGGAGGTCAGGGTATCTATCATAAATAGAATTGGGTATTTAGCAAAGGGGTGTTATTTAAAGGAATAGGTCTGTTTTCTTTATAGTGTTTAATACAAATATCCTAGGAACTTTTTTAAAGGACCTACTTTTTTGGATGTAAAGACAAGGTTAGGATCTAGGAATTTTTGACCATCATGGTATGCTATTCTTTTGGGTGTTCTGTTCAAAGTGAGCATCTAATTTTTGTTGTTGTTTTATTTTGTTTGAGATGGGAGTCTTGCTATGTAACCCAGGCTATCCTCAAACTCAAGATCCTCCTGTCTCACACTCCAAGTGCTGGGATTACAGGCATATACCACCATGCCTGACTCATGTATCTTCTTGTTTCCCCAAATGGGTCCCAGTCTTGAAGGACATTTCCTTGTTGAGTAGAAACCTAAAATCCAGAGAAGGTTATCTAGGGATTGAGGGCACACCTCACCCTCCTTTTTGTCTTCAAGTTAGGAAAATCATAGAATGGCAGATTCATCTTGGGGTTGCTCTTGGTTGTTAGTAGACAAATAGTTCTTCAATTTCCATGAGAAGGTTCTGGGCTGGCAGAGTGGTAGAGAGCGCCTGCCTAACAAGGATGAGGCCCCGAGTTCAAACCCCAGTGCCGCTGATGAAAAAAAAAAAAAGAAAAAAGATTGACACTATGAGGATATGTGATCAAGCAAGTTGTTACTGATTTTAGATCTGACTAGTATCAGTGGGGACAGAGAGTATCCCTTGGCTAGCTGGGGGTACAGACGCTTTGACTGGGAACTCCTTGAAGAGTAGCAGGTGGTGGCTTTCCTATACTCAGACACTGGCATTGGTTGGTCTGTTCTGCTTCCAGCTTCCACATGTGGTAAATAGGGCCAGCCTGGAGATCTGTGCTGGTCAGCTGTTTGTGGATGATAATGTACCTCCCCTGAGTGTAGACAAGGCTCTGGCAGCTGGAGATTAAGAGCCCATTCTGGCTTCTGATAAGGAGTTTTGGGTGGGGGAGTCCTTGAGGCTGCCACAAACAAGCCCTGGGAGGAAGAAACCACTTCTTTGGGCCTGGCACTGGCTTCTCTAGCAGCCTTTGGTAAGGAAAGATAGCAAGGACTCAATTGTACAGGCTTCCAGGCCAGCACCAGCATCCCAGGCCCAACAAAGAATGGCACAACAGAGAGAGCTTGAGGCTGGGGGAGAATGTACACTTGTAGACTTGGTTCTTTTCCCCAACTAGCTTTGTGACTTTAGACAAGTCCCCCAGCTTTTCCTGTCTTAGAAATTAGTGGAGGCGGATTAAATGACCGCTGTTTTTTTTCCCCTCAGCTTTTGATTCTAAATCATCCCATTATCCTGTCAATTACAGGAGGGCAAATTAACACCATTATTATCATTCTTTTCAATTAGCTGAACTGCAAGTTCATTTGGGGGAAAATGGAGTAGTAAGTAGTAATCGTCTCTTACTGGGTCAGATTCTTGACAGTTCCGGTTCCATTTTCAAGCATAATAAAATGGCCCTGCAAGGTGGTCGGGTACCAGGTAGAGTGGGGTACCAGCTCTCCCACCTACCTACTGGCTATGCAGCCTGGAGCAAGTTGCCAGTCAGACCCCAGTTTTCCCAGGTGTAAAATAGGATTGCAATGAACCCATTTCAAAGTGTTCTGAAGATTAAATTGAGAGCCATAAACTACTTAGACTCATCTAGAACATTCAGTTCCTTAATAAATGAGGATTGGTGTTCTAAGTAAGAAGTACATCTCATCTCTTCAAGGGCTCTGAATTTGTCCAGAGACAAGGACCCTGGCATACTGATAACAGGAAGGAAACCATTATTAACCAGGGGTGTAGCTCGGTGATAGAGTGTACGCTTAACATGTGCAAGTCCCTGGGTTTGATCCCCAGCACCAAAACAAATAAAAAGAGTAGTATCTACTAGACCTTATGCAAGAATGACCGTATTAACAAACAATCCAAACAGCCTGCTAGTCCCCCACCCCAACACACGCAGAGAAAATCTTTAAGACTTTGTCTAAAAATCTTCACAATCCAAAAAGCCCTTGCTAGGTCAGATGTAGCCCACAGTAGGCATTTTACAAATACCTAGAGTAGACACTCCACAAGGGGTTAACTGAATGAATTCAGGCCTGACCTCTGCCTTCCTGTGGAAATGTAGGGTGTTTCCTTGCTAGGAGCCCTGACCCATTGGCTCCCTGGTCTGCCTGTGGTTAGTACCAGGACTGGGCTACTGCTGATTTGCACACAAAGTGGGTGGGGAAAGGGTTCTCCAATAGCAACTCTTGCTTACTTCAATTCTGCCCATCAGTGGAACTACACCCCCATGCCCTCCCTTCCCAGAAGAGGAATAAATGGGGAACAGAGAGAAGGGCAAGTCTCAGCTCTCTGGCTTTCTCTTCCTCACCCTGTTCTTGTAGAGCTGCAAGAAAATATCTGAGCTCAGTTAAGAGGCCATCAGTGGAACTACACCCACATGACCCTCCCTTCCAGAAGAGGAATAAATGGGGAAACAGAGAGAAGGGCAAGTCTCAGCTCTCTGGCTTTCTCTCCTCACCCATTCTTTGTAGAGCTGGCAAGAAAAGTATCTGAGCTCAGTCAAGAGGCACCAAAGCCCTGGAATAACAATCTTTTGAGGATAGCCTCTGCACTGGATGCATAGCCTTTGCCCTGCTTTGATAGGCACCTGGTTCCCGCACAGCTCCAAGTCATTTTGTTCCCAGTAGAATCCTGCTATACCACTCCCACCCTCGATTCTCACAAACAAGGGCGGGCCTTGGTTCAACCCTTGTCCAGTAAACTGGACAGGCTGCCTAGCGCACATCAGATAAGAGGAGGTAATAGCTGGGTGGGTTGGAGCAACAACTGCTTCTCAGGGAGGGGCTACTAAAAATTTGTTGGTGGGCACTGGCAGTAAGTGAGAAAAGACAGCTGTACAGAGGCTGGAGAAGCTGGAGATTGAGTTAAAACTACTAGTTTCTGTCATCATGGGAAGTAGAGATATAAGATACTGTGGTTTTTTTTCAAGAGAAGCTAGAAAGGCAAAGACTTGACATCTCCCCAAGTTCTCATTGTGGCAACTACTTTTTCAAATTGTTCAACACTTTGTTTGAAGTACATATATGCATGGGCCCCCAACGTGTGATCTCTGAAGCATGGGGAATGAGAATATGGGTTTTCTGTCCTTACCCTCTACTAGGAGTGAGGGTCTGCAGGACATGATGAGAAACATTAGTGGCAGGCTGTCATGGCTCTGATCTCCAGGAAGGTGCATTCTGGCATGTTCCTGATGGAAGAAGGGAATCTCTGCTTCTCCAAGTATTCAACAGGAGGTAAGTTTCTCACTCTGGTGTCCATTAACCAGTTCGCGGACTGTGACCTTTGGTCCTTACCCCAGGAATGCCCTGATCCCTCCTGTTCACCTACTTTTGCCTAGTTAAACTCTTACCTTCAAGATTCAGATTATCTCCTTCAAGCACTTTTTCAGTGACGTTTTCCTTCATATGATAGGAATATACGGCCTTTCTTGAGTTTCCATGATGCTCAGTTCCTTGCCTCTGCCCTGGTCTTATAACCTTGAATTTACAGCTAGAATGTAGGGCCAGGACCTTGCCTGAGCTGTGTCTGGTCCTTAGTGGTGTTAATAGTGAATACTGGTTGAACGATGGAGAATGTCAAAGTTGCCTAGAGTGCAGGTTGGTGGAAGAAGGGATTAGATCAGAGGTAAAAGAAAAAAAAATTCAAGTCTATTCAGGATTGGCGGGAGTTTGTAGTACTCAAAA